CAGTAGGTTGTTGTGAACCTATGTTGAAAACAGTTTAGATGTTAATATTGTCAGAGCGTGAGTGTAGTTATTTCAGTTGTGTATAGGTCTGACACCTAACTAATTACATGTTATAATGCTGAAATGACAATGATTCATGCTTTTAAAATTCCCTTTTAACTGAGGGAGTTTTTAAAAATAAAACTGAAGCATTTAGAATTTTGTTACAGGTGATTGGCAGGCTTTATTTCTTTTAGTCGCACACAAATGAATCATTTAGGTAAGCTAACAATTGACAGTTAAAGCAAGTGAATTAATGACGGGGTGTCAAAGATGCATCCCATGGTGACCTATCATCCAGCCCGCAGTGCTGCTTGTGGGTCTCCGACTGGCACGCTGCATGCAGCATGTGCTGTTCCCAGCCTTACTTACATGCACACAGCACGCAAAGGCAGGCCTGGCATGTGGCACTTTGAGTCAGACCAGCCTTGCGCACTGCATCTGGGGTTGGTGCAGACTGAGCCCACAATCCAGCACTAAAGGCCAGTCTGATGTGGCCATCACATGCAGCATGTACTGCAGACCAGCCCTGTATGCTGTGTGCTGCACAGGAGTGGGGCCTGGGCACATGCTGCGCATGTTGCATCGGGCTGGTCCGGGGTGTGTGCTGCACGTGGTGCCTATGCTATACTGGCCTTGCACACTGGATCCAGAGTCAGTCCAGTTAAGACTCTCAGACTGGTCCTGTATGCTGGATCCTGTCCACAGAGCCAGTCAGGTGCAGGTGTCGCATGTAGCACATGCCCCAGACTGGCCCAAAGCACCATATGCCATGTGTAGGGCTGAGACTGCAGCATGTTGCATGCGGTTTGTGAGCCTGGAGCCAGAGCACATGCTCAAGGGCACACAGGGCTGGTCCAGGGTGCACGCAGCACCAGCAGCGGCTGGGCCATGTGTGCTGAATCTGCCATGTGAGGCCAATCTGTAGGCCCAGTCTGGCTTGCAGACTGGCCACATGCCTCTCATCCTGCAGGGTCAGATGAGTTTAACAACCTTGAACTAAAGCATGGCAAGTAGTTTACAGTATCAGTCAGAAAGGGATTCTCATAAAGGGTGTAGATATCTCCTACCGCCATGTCTTGGAAGAACGGCTTAGTAATTAGGGGGTTATGGCACAGGCCTAGAACTTGGGAGGCCTGGGTTCAGCTTCTTCACCACGACTTCTTGGGTGACTGTTGGTAAAGTCACTTAACCTGTCTGTATCTAATGTAGAAAATGAGGACACTGGTGCTTTCATTCACAACAGTAATACTATCATTCCTGTGGCTGGTGTGAGGATGCCTTTTTTTTAAGAAAGATGAATGGCATTACAGCAGTTAAAATGAAAGCCATTGTATGCAAGACAGATGGTTCCATTTAGTTGAGTACCTAAGTCCTGATATGTAAGATTTCATCTTTGGAAGGGAAAGCGATGATATTACTATTATAATACTATTATAGGGTGTTACTCAAACACACAAATATATTGCTGATTCTTTATTTGTGCCATTTTAGAAACAAATTGGTAATAAGTAAGCTAATGTTAAGATTTCTTTACAAGAATATATAGAGCTCCTACTTGGGGGGAAAAAAGGCTATTATGGCTGAGATTCACTTAACTGTTTCCCACTGTTTCCTTTAATTGAGCGTGTTGAAAAAGAGGCAGGTAGGCACTGTTGAATAGACTTGGGGAATTAAGGGTTGTAGGCCTTAATATTCCATTCCCCTTTCTGCCACTGAATTGATGCACAGAATAAGGTGAATTATGTAAAAATTGATAACCGTTTTATATCAGCATAATAATTAGAAACAGATCAACTTTGTAACGTGGTCTGAAGGTTGTATATTTTCCCGGAAGCCAATGAATCCTGAGTACTGAACCCAGATCTGATGTGATTTTGATGTCTCCTTTATTTCCTTTGACCCCATTCTTCCCTTTTCAAATGGAAGCTGTAATAACTTATTATACAGTTCCAAAAAATGTACTGTATGTTTTATAGAACATAGATGCAGTCTGGCTATATTTGCTTTTTAGCTTTCTAATCATATCATGCTTAGTAGTTTTTACCACACTATAGGGGAAAGCTAATTTGCCTTTGAGGATATCTCAATATAGATCCCATTATGGGTATATATGTGCATAAAATGGAATTTAAAATAGCAACATCCACCTGGGCCAGACATATGTGCCTGTAGGAGGGAATAAAAGATGAAGGACATTAAAACAAAAGGCATAAAGCCCTCTGTGTTGCTTCACTTAGTCAGTTTTACTTTTCCTTCTGAACTGATTAGTCTAGTGTAGTGAACAGTACCATATTACCTGCTTTGTTAATTGTAAAATTACATTGTCTATTGTGTTTCTCTGTACACCTGATGTTCAGGGGCAAATAGGAAACCAGGGCATTAACGAGAGAAGTCTGGGAGCAATACAAAAGGTGTGCTCTGAGTTTTAGAAATGGTTGTGGCAGGAGGATTTATACAGTATTAAGATGGAGGAGTGGAACTCTACTTTCATTGCATTAAAAAAAAACAAAACAAGAAAAGAAGGAAATATTTGATCCCATAGATGGAAGAAATATTATTTTAATCTCTGTTACAAATCCATGTTCTGAGGCAAAATAAGAGATTTTTGCTTTGAATACTTAGATTGAAATTCTCATCAGGTATATTCCACTGGAGTCAGTGAAATTATTTGGGCATAATTGAGAGTGGAATTTAGCTTTTTGTCTAAGGAAGTATAACTTGTCTGTATTTCTCAAGTAGAGGTGTGTTTTTCAATTCCTTGTACACTTTTATTTTTTCAGTGGGAGGACAGAAGTCCAGTCTGTACAGTATGGTAAAGAAAAAGCAAACAAAGACAGGGTATTTGCAAGGTAAGCTATTTTCATTTGTCTGTACAGAATTTAATCATGGTAATTGTGTAATTGCTAAAATACTTCTGATAGTTTTCAGACACATGAAAGAGCATTTTGGTAAGCCTCCTTTCAGTAGCAGTGTGTGTTAGATGACAATTTGGATGCAATGATTTCTTCTTTTTTGGTTTAAGAAAACTATTTTAGGAGTGCTTTTACCCGTATCAGGGTGTCTAGATTAATTATTGAAATGTTTCTTTTTAAACATGCAAAAGTTGAAGGTAACCTGACAACAGAAAGATAAAGAATGATACTCCTTAGTTTTTCTCTTTTTTGCGTAATTGTAAAGAAGAATTAGACTGTAATTTCTTCAGGATAGGAGTTGTCTTTTTATCTATACAGTGCCAAGCTCTGTGATATATTAATACTCAATATACTTTTCTCTCCTACAAACAGAGTTTCTTCTGTCAGCCTTTCTCCTGAATGCTTATGAGGTTTTATTAATGATAATGAAATTGTGCAGGTTTTCTTTTGAATATTTTGCGTTGGGTATCAGATTTAGTATGTGTATATAACTAACTTGTTCTTCTGTGTACAGTAATTACCTTGTGGAAATATTAATTGTTTGTCTGCAACCTGTGCTTCCTGCTGGGTACCTCTCCAAAACCACAATTCCATAAATGCATTTTTTGAGTGATCTGAATGCTTGATACTCAGCAACGTAATTCTGCAGGAGCTATTTGCTCTGTGTTTGTAGTTTTTATTTTGTATTTAACATTGGGGTGTTAATTTATTTTTTAGTTATCTTCAGAAAGTTCTGAACCAGTGGAAATCTATACACTCCTGTTATACTATGGATTTTCTAGATCTCTGTAACTTAGCATTGTTGGCAGGCTAATTTTGGCTCCAGGGAGCGCACAGATGTTTAAGGAAATGATGTTTGTTACTCAGTAGGTGGCACTCTTCCCTTTGAGTCGGTTCTGAGCTAACATCTCGTGTTGCTGGGGTCACTATAGCTTGGGAATCCATCTTCTAGGACAGGCTTAAAGCCAAGGTTGTCAAGTCTGGGATCCTTTCAGGTATCTCTAGTATGTGGAATAAGGAGAGAGGTATTTGGCTCTGTCCTAGACGCATTCCATCTTTAATAACAACATTCTGTATGACATTAAGGAGGCATTTTTAAGTAGCTCAGTGCAGTATTGTTCTCCATATAATCTAATTTATTTCATAATGTTGCATTTAACTGATAAACATTTGTTGAGGGTATTCCAGAGTTGACTTAATATAAATGGTGAATAAAACAGTTACTATTTATAGTTTGCATACTGATTTCTAAAGTGAATTGGGATGATTCAAGGTTAAAAGCAGTATGAAATGCAAGATGTTCATGAGATGCTACACAGAGAATCATAGAAAGTTAGGGTTGGAAGGGACGTCAGGAGGTCACATCTAGCCCAAACCCCTGCTCAAAGCAGGACCAGCCCCAACTACATCATCCCTGCCATGGCTTTGTCTAGCTGGGTCTTTAAAACCTCCAAGGATGGCGCTTTTATCACCTCATATCTTCAAGACCTGAAATATAGTGCCTTTAGGACAGGGGCAGGCAAAATACGGCCCACAGGTTGGATCCAGGCCTCCAGGCAATTTCATCCGGCCCACGGGCATCCACCAGTTAATTGTAACCTGCCCGACCTGAGCCTTGCTCCCACCCTTACACGCAGAAGGACCTGGTCCAGTCAGCACAATTTCTGGGTGGGACTGTGCTGCCACTGCAGCAGCCACATGGGGACCTGCTCCACTTCCCCGGTGTCCAGCAGCTCCTCGTCTCCCTGCTGCAGTGCTTGCTCAGGGCAGCAGGTGGGGGTGGGGGGAGCTTCGGTGGGGATGGTAGGGGAGCTGCGGCTGGCTGGGAGCAGGGAGCATGGGGCTGAGGCTAGCAAAAGTGCAGAGCCTGTGCCCAGGGGTGCAGAGGAAGTGTGCAGTTTGGGTGGGCAGGGTGTGGGTGTGAGGGAGAGTAGGCAGGTAAGCAGCGGGAAAGGCAGCTAGCTCCATTGTGCGGAGCTTCCCCCAGTGGTGTGCGAGTGCCAGGAGATGCGTGTATGCTGTAGGGAGCCCCATGTGATAGAGGTGGGCCGGCCTGGCTGCGCTCCTGGCTCTGGCTAGAGCCATGCACTGCATCCCTTGGGCCCATTGCCTGCTGCTGGCAGCGGAGTCTGTGCACCATGGGGGGAGTTCCTGCATCCCACAAACCCCACACATCCACACTCTGCCCCCACAGCCCTGCTGCATATACACCCACCTCTGCAACCCATACACCCCCACACACAGCCACAGCTTCTTGTTTATGTCCCTGGAAAAGTGTATTCCTGCAATACTAGATATAGTTATAGTTCTGTTTAGCGTAGATCTCACTTTAAAAAATGCCTGTCGGAACCATTTCTAGATACTGTTGCTTGGTGGATATCTTTGTAGCTTTTTTGTTTTGAAAGCAAGAACACTGGATGGGATTGCTCTAGAATAAGCTATTTAAAGTGATGGCTTGACCGTTCATAGTTACTGGTCAAGTACACTAAATTGAATGTAGTGCTCATAATGCTCTCTCCTTTGTGTACAATGAGGAACGTTCACAAAGGTGGTAGTTTCTGTGCCTTGGGAACCTATTTAAAGCCACGTCTGGGGCCTGATCCGAGGTTTATCGGTAAAAAGATCCCCATTCACTCTCAGTGGGCTTTTGATGCATCTGGTTTGCTCTTGGTTAATCTGTTTTGGCAAGTAAGCTGATAAGTAGTTTTAGAAGTTTAGGAATATGTAACTTGGTTGTCCAAGAGTGACATTGGGCTGGTGTGCAGAGCGGGTCTGAGCCTTGGACCCTCCTTCCAGCATACATGATCTGATGGCTGCTTCAGCCAGACTGGGACCGAACCTGGAGTGGCCTGAACAGGCACTGTGTATGGTGTAGTCCAGCCAGAGCAGCAGCTGCATGCCGTGGCCACCCTGGCTAGATTGACCAGTACACAGCACCTGCTTCCCACCCCCCCCACATATTTCCAGAACTGTGCTGCACACACTATCTGCTCCAGCCAGTCCAGGACCCATGCTGTACACCGTGTGTTGCACGTGGCACTTGCAGACATGTCCTAGACTAGCTTGAGTGGGCACCGTGTGTGATGCAGAACAGCTTGAGTGGCCACCATGTGCAGCTCGGCTGCTGCTCCAGCCAAACTGCACCGCACCCAGCAACAAAACTGTTTCGCCCACCCCAGGATCTGCGCTGCACGCAGCATGGGTCCCAGATTGCCTTGAGCATCGTTGCATCAAGTACACTGGGGAGGGGGCCGGATCAGCCTGTGGACTGACCCTGTGCCACAGGTCTGGTAAGATTTAGGGCAGCATGGGGGAATGGATGGCAGGGCTCCACAGGCCAGATCTGGCTTGTGGCCCATATTTTTGATACCCCTGATATAAACTTTTCCAATGAGGGTATCCTGTCTGAGGGTTGTACTTAATTCTCCAAGTCCAAAAAGCACATATAATGATTTGGTGCTTCAGCCTCCACCACCCATGTCAGAAAATTATTTTGAGATGATGTCTAGAATTAATGTGATACAGAAGAAGACTTAGCTGAAGTATTTCATGCTATAAGTGTAACCAGAGAGATAGATAATGTTTAGTCAGATAGAGAGGTATTGAAAATTAGTGCCAAGGTCAAAAATAGAAAAAACCACAGCATTGAAAAGCTCTGTTGCTGTGTACTGTGGTAACTTTTCTTCGAAATTTCCACAAAGAACAGGAAATAGAGGCAACAAGCCCAACCATGTGGGTGGGACACAGACCTGCTAATAAAGTAGCTGAACCAAAAGTTTACTCGCAAACATTGCAGTTTATGATAGTCGAAGTGTGTAGTACTTTTTGGCCTTTCGGCTCAGATCAAGTGTAGTTCCAAGAGATCAGAACTTGTGCACAGTAAATAAGGTAGGTCTTCTTGAAAGAGATTGCAGCTAGAATTAAAACACCAGCTTTCTTCATTTTATAGGAAGTTGTATTCATCTGTTGTGGCCTAGGGTAAGTTGAGGGTTTTAAAATGTAGTAGCTACAAATTGTGGCATAGAGCAATAAATTGTACCTTCTCCCCCTTTCAGTATAAATTATTTGAGCACGCTAACATGAGACTGCCTCTAAATCCGGAGTTGAAGGTGTTAAACAAATTGTATACTAATATGAAGTATTACATTCCTCTAATGCCAAACTGTGAACAAATAACCTGCGTTTATAATAAAGACTGTAAGGTCTTTTATTTTTGCTGATTTCCATCATTTATTTTGTATTGTATCATGATTTAGTTGCACTTGTATTGGGGGGGCAAAAATATTGTCTTTTTGCTTTGTTAATTTTTACAGTACTTTTGAGATCAGGATGACTTGGTATTTACTTCATGTATTTGATAGTCGTTGCTTGGCTTAAATATACTGAAAGCTGCTTTTGGGAATTAACTCATTGACTCGTGATTCCTGTAGCTTCTGCTCATTCTGTTCCTTAAAATTATTTTTGCATGTCACTAACCGAATTGATACTTTTCTATCCCGAATTAAACCACCACAGTTTACCGCTTTGCACATCTGCCTTTTAGTGCTGTTCTGCAGGCAAAGGCCATAGTTTGATGCAACTGTAAGCTTAATGTTGGCAGGATCTGGCTAATGATAACCATTGCTAGAGAAAAGGAATAATGTGCTTACACATCAGTGCAGACATGAGATGTTTCCTTTCCTTCTGCTTATTCACGCTGTCTCTCTGCCTCTCTCTCTAATAGTTAATGCAGCAGTATGTTCAGACTGGGTTATCACTGTGAAAAAAGTTGTCCAGCTTGAATTGGATAATTCACAATTTAGCTACTATGCATATCTGTAAAATTCTGTAACTCATCAAAAAAGTTGTTTTAATCCATGTGCTGTAAAAAACAAACTAATTAATAACTTTGGCAGAAGAAAATAATAAGCGACAGCCAAAATGTAGGGTCAATGTATATCACCATACAGGGAATAAAAGGTTGCTGGATTACATTTTGTGCATCTTAGAGCATGGGTTTTTTTCAAGCTTCTTCCGCATGGCTTGACAAGGCACAAAACTGAAATAAATTGTAAGAGTAAATAAATAAGCATATAAAATATCCCATTCTTGAATTTGGCTAATTATGATATTATTCTGGCTAACATTGTATTTTCTGTAACCTAGTTGCGTTTCCCTCCTCACCCCCATCCCTCTTATGTTAGTCCCTCACTGGGGTGATCTGTGTTTCCCTGCTGGCTTTGTCATCTTTTTGGATTCACAATCCTAACCATCTACTAATGAAATCCCTAAATAGTAGGTTTCCTGGTAACTCTTAAGGTATTATACCAGCTTGCAGTACTGGATTTGGATGTGGGTAGAGATCTCTTTCAGGTGGTTAGAGAAATATTTTGGAGAGTTGTCAATATGGGAGGTTTACCTAGATATATTGGTGAGCAAATGTTATTTCTTCATTAAACAAGTAACCAGTGGAAACAGCAGTGTTCACCTTTGTTTTGATTGTTGTTGAGGAAGTTAAAGACAAGTGATTGTAGAAAGTGAACTTAAATGAAGAAGTAAAATAAACAGGTCTGTAACTTTTGAATATTAAAGGGTTTAGTTAGTGAAATCACCTGGATAAAAGCTCAAGGATTTGAATGTGTGGGGGGGGTTAGAATTTCTTTCAGCGGAAGGTGTAAAAACTAGTTTTCATCCCAAGTAAAAGGGAAAAATGTGCAGAGAGGGACTCCAGACCTTGTGCAGACACCTTAAAAAGCATAGACAGAAAACCTACAAGGAATAGGGAAGAGGATTGAACAGCAAAGCTAGGTGTGGTTGGGACATGAAGCGCAGGGATGAAGTAAGAACTGGCCCAAGACAGGGCAAGCTAGACTTTGCAAAGGAAACTAAAATAACAAAATGTTATTTAACCACATACATAAAGAGAACAAGGAAGTAGGAAGTGGGGCTGCTCTGGAGAGGGCGGAGTCCATGTTAAAGATAACCACTGTAAATATTTTGCCTCAGTGTTTATAAGGATTCTGATATAATAGCAAAGTGCCCGTCATGAAAGACCGGGGGGGGGGGG